AAAAACATTGACAAGAAAAAATAATCTTGATTCAATCAGATTTAAGCTTAAATCAAAAGGAAATCCGCTCAAATTAAGAGACGGGGTTCTTGATTTAAGCTTAAATCTGATTAAATCAAGAGTATTTTTTCTTGTCGATGTTTTTAAGAGTCTGGACTCTAGATTTAATGTATTTTTTATTCCAGTGCCGTATCAGGATTTATGCCAGTTTTAAGAAACCAAAATTGGGGACTTTTAGGGGTGTTTTTCAAGAAAATCGGGGACTTTCTTCCCGAAATAGTAAGAGAAAGGGGGCTATAGTTAGAGCGTTAAAAGGCGTATAGTATTTTATACGACTAATTCTACAAGTCATGTTGAACCGATGAAACCATACGAAAACCCAAGCAACGCTTCAGTTTTTTTATTCCTGGTTATACCGCGCCGCTGAAAGTTTGCAAATTCCGGTGTTTAGGACGATTTTTGTCATTTTTTGGGGACCTGAACAAGAAAATTGGAGACTTTTGGGGATATCGGGGACACCCTTCCAAAAACGGGGATAGTTGGGCACATTGAGGACTTTTGGGGACCGGTAGACACCCTGCGTATGAACCTCCAGGCGTTGCCATGTTGCCTTCAATAAAACAATACTTCACGCGAAACAATTTTGAATAATATTCCTCCAATTTTTTGGCAATTTTATTGACAATTTAATCTAAAACTTCAAGAAATTTCAACGAAGAATGTGCATAAATCATTCCGCAAAAATAGACATTTCATGGGAGGTAATTTGGTGACTCTCGAATGTTCATACGGCGTTTTGCCTTAGCACGGCAGTGTGCAACTTACATTCTTTTCAATAGAATTACTGGAATCATGCAGAAAACTTTTACAAAGGTAATTTTCGTCTTCAATTTACGGTTTATTGGGAGTAAAGATAAAACTTGTTTAGATGATCGATTTATGTTTGCAAGGTAAGAAAAGTTGCCCAATCTCAGTGACATAGAAATGTTCTTGGTTCCTTGTTGCAAAATGCAGTCCATTTGTGTGAGAGAGAGGACGTAGATCTCGCCCCTCCACTTTCCTTGGAGGTCGTAGGGCCCGGAAATGGCGCCGATTTGTTTCGGTTTTTGATGATGGGAGGAAGATCATGGCCAATTTTTTACGGTTATCACCAACCGCACTTGCTGCCAACCTAACTATGTTTGAGATAATTTTTCTTGAAAATAGCATACGATTCACTGTAAAACTATAAAAATGCGTTGTAATAGTGCATTCGAGTTAAGTTCTGGTTGAGGTATGCAAACACAACTACATTTAAAGTAATTTTTTATTTTCACTTACTTCGGATGAGAAATCTCTAATTCAGACGTAATGCTACATCATAACGCTCTCAACTTCCCAGCTCTGGAAACGGATTTCAAATAAAACCAGGGGAATCATCATGTGATTCATACAATTTTACATATGGTGAACAACGGTTCATAAAAAAAGTCCCGACAAATATAAGCCTTTTAATCACGTAATGCGCCAGTATTGCGGTCTCAACGTTTTTTCATAAGCTCGTGAATTGATTAGAGACAAAAAGCCAGCGGATGAATCTTGTTCTCGTAAAATTGACACAGTTGTAATCGGTGCATCGTTAACCGCCCGTTCTCACAGAGACTGCGTTTTGTCGACTTTTTTTTTATTTTTTCCAGGGAGCACAAGTTTCATTTGGACGTATTTCTGTCAAACGGAACTAAGTGCATTAAGACATGAGCCTCGAGACACTTAAGAATACACGCATAACAGGGCTCACGTCATAATGCACGTAGTTCCGTTTGGCAGAATACGTCCATTTGATACTCCCTCGACGTTTAAATAATTGACAAGGAACTCCGACGACAACGTAGCATCATGGAAGAGCTCTCGAAACAGAGTCGCGTGAAAATTCCAGGAAAATCTAAAATAATCCCGTAAGCTACGTATTCAGCACGTTGCATTAATACCGCCCGCCGCTGTAAATACGGAAGTGCACAATGGTTGTGTCACACAGTGTACCTGCCTCGCTCCATTTTTCAGTGGCGTGGCGTGCTTTGCGATACATCGATTGTTATGCCATTTAAACCTATGGAAAAGGATCGATAAACAGGGTGTTCGCAGCGAACACCATAATAATCGATTCTTTATCTTATGTTTAATTGGCATAACAATCGATATATCGCGAAGCACGCCACGCCACTGCCATTTTTCTCGGAAAGGCCTGCGTGTCAAAATCCCGCATGCTGATGGTTTCCGAGAATAAACCTTTCAGGAAATGTCAAACTCTCATAAAAATATCCGCTTTTCTGTTCTCCTGGTGAATCGCTCTTATAGCGCACGATTCCCCTACTCGCACGTGCTCTACAGTGCTACGGAAGAACAACGTATGAAATTTCGAGAGTTTTCAAGTTTCCTCGAATAACATATGTACTTTTAAGGAAAGTTTTGCATATTTTAGATTAAATCGCGAACAAAGTTTTTTAAGGGGATTTTTGGTATTTAAAAAGCTCTTAAGATGTACTAATTAACCTGTCCCCAAAAAAGACCTAAAGCAGGGCCGGATTAAGGGGGTGGCCCCATGGGCCGCGGCCAATAGCGGCAAATCTATAGGGAGCGGCGAATTGTGCAATTTTTTTTTACATGTAGGTGTAAAAAAAATCAGATTTAGAAAAAAAAAATTACAAACGAGAAAAGACGACCAAATCTCTCATTTCCTGAGAGTATCGTGATTTCTAATTTTGTCGTCTTTCAGTGATACAAGAGACAGCACTTTTAATTAGTCGAGTTAAGAGAGAAACCAAACACAACACACAATTTGGCCTGGAACGGCGCGGTGCGACTTAGAGAAAAATGATGACGAGGACTTGAAATGAAAAGGAGGAGCCCTCGGTACTACAGACCGATGACATATTAGCGCCTACAAGACTGCACGAATACTTCACATATTGCATCAAACACAGTGCGGTCATTGCGGTCAGCGTGAAACGCATAGCGCCTACAAGACTGCGTGAATACTTCACGCATTGCGTCAAACAGTGCGGTCTGCGCGGCGCGGCGGCGAAAGTTAAAATCATTAAACCACATTTTATGTTTGTTCTTTCATAATTTTTTCGTTCATTTCTTATGAATGGAAGGCCTTGTCCACACAGAGATAGGTTCACGAAACTTAACTTTCGCGCAAAGTTTCGTGAAATTTTGATAGTAGTGTTGACAGCGTTTTCCCAAAAAATGTGTTCAACACCAGTAGACGCGTCTTATGCGCCCCTCCTCCGCTGGCACGCTCATTCGATGGTTTTTATTGATGTTTCAAAACGAATGAGAAGGAGGCGGCAACATACAGGCGGCCCATGGGCGGCAAGTAGGTAAATCCGGCCCTGACCTACAGGCGTATTTTTTGTTTTTATATTTCTTGAAAGTTGTTAAAATATATTGAGGTCAAAGCTGATGACTGAAGGAAGTTGACCCAGAGGTGAATCCAGCAGGTTGGCAACACTGGCATCCCTCCATTTGTACCTGTGTTGAATAATCGATTCTTGTTGGAGCGACTGGCCTCTTCGAAAATCGATATATTTTCATTAGATTTAAATGGGGGAAAAAAAATGTTGCCAACTTCCGGCATACGCCAGTGGTTGACCTTTATAGAACTTAGAACTTGATTGAACTTTCACAAACCAGCACGTTGGCACAGCTTATTCTTATGGACTTAGAATCCAAGCTGACACGAGCACCCTTAAAGTTTATTTCATTGTACATTTCAAAACATTCTTGGGTTTACGACACCGCGTAAAACATTTTATTCGAAACCAGCCTACAAATTAATCCGCCAAGGCAATAAAAAAATTGGCACAAGTGTGCTAAACTTACAGACCGTCGCAACTTCAGTTATAGTTCCAGTCGTTAAGTAACAAGCGTGTAAAATTAGCACGGTTGTAATATTTCCCAGCAGAAACCTTTTTCTGAGTGTGCAGAAATTAAACTCGACGATACATGATCAATTGTTTGCGATATACGGGTACCCATCCGATGCAAACAAAGGAGATAGGAATCACCACGTTTTCCACACCACCATTTTGGATCGAATATGTATCGAAAAAGTGACCCGAGCTCGGCGCACATCGGGCTCGGAACTCGTCGAGCAGAACATGGCGCCAGCTCTCCCATTTACATTACGACTCTATGTACTCTATGTATAATGTTTGCAGTCGGTGAAAATGTAATCTTTATTCCCGTTTGTAACTCTGTGGAGGCCTAAAATACGGGAACCAATCAGATATGGATTCACATTGTCTTGACTCTCAGTATAGAGGGACTCTAGGTATGGTCTGCGACCGCGCAGCGTAAATTTCCTTCAATTCGTCAAATAGGCAATGTGACCGCACAGGAGTAGGTATAGACGCATCATCGGAAATGCACCATTGCTCGATTTTCTGACCAATTAACTGAGTCGGTTTATGGAAAACCGGCTATCACCGGTTATTGGGACACTGTGGAGGCCTAAAATACGGGAACCAATCAGATATGGATTCACAGTGTCTTGACTCTCAGTACAGAGGGACTCAAGGTATGGTCTGCGACCGCGCAGCGTAAATTTCCTTCAATTCGTCAAATAGGCAATGTGACCGCACAGGAGTAGGTATAGATGCATCATCGGAAATGCATCATTGCTCGATTTTCTGACCAATTAACTGAGTCGGTTTATGGAAAACCGGCTATCACCGGTTATTGGGACACTGTGGAGGCCTAAAATACGGGAACCAATCAGAAATGGATTCACATTGTCTTGACTCTAAGTATAAAGGGACTCTAGGTTTCCCCTGCCTCCTGACTGTCTCTCGCGGATTTCCGAGTAATCTCCTCTAATCATTTCGTTCAAAGGTTATGGTCGTTTGTTGGGGCACGTTTCGACTTTCGAGATATTGAAACTTTTTCGAGATGCGACATCACACTAAATGCGTCTACTTCAAAGCAAGCACGGAGGAGCGTGAGAGAAGCGGACCTACCTGAAAATTGACGGATGCGCCGTACTTGAGGAGGAGGTAGACGAGCGTGGCGTTGCCCTTGACGACGGCGAGAAATAAGGCGGGGAGGGTGAAGAGGTACTGGCGGGTGTAGAGCTCGGCCATGTGGGCCACTTTGTCCGCCGGCAGGGCCGAGTTGAGCTTGAGGAAGGGCTCGGCGGGGGTCGCTCCCCCGAGGGGGGAGCCCTCCGGCGGGAAGGGGAGGATGTCCGAGTCGGAGCGGGAGTGGCCGGCCGAGAGGTGGGTGTTGGAGGAGTAGGAGGTCGTCAGCGAACAGGAGGAGGACCGAGAGGTCGACGGCGAGGAGGAGGCTGAAGATTTCGCTCGCTCTTTCTGGTACGTTGTCAACCTGAAACACATGAAACATATTGAACACATGAGACACATGAAACACATAAAACACATGAAACACATGAAATACACGAAAGACACAAGACACACGAGACACTCGAGACGGTATCTGTTTATTTAGCCACGGCTCATTTGGCCACGTGGCGAACTGCAACAAAAATTGTTGCAAATTGCCACAAACTCTGGGTGCTGTGTGGCTAAATGAAACAAGAAAAATTAGTGTGGCTAAATGCAACAAAAATTGTTGCAGTTAGCCACAGTCTTTGATTGAAAACAATTTTTTTTTAAAATAATTTTACCATCCTCCACTGGTGACCAATGCAATACTGATTCTACTTTACGCTGAAATACATGAAAATCTACTAATAGGAAAATATCCGAAGGAATTATTGACTACATGCATCCAGCTCTCCTTTCTTAGATTAGGTCATTAGGTAAGGTTAGGTTAGGTTAGGTTAGGTTAGGTAAGGTTGGGTTAGGTTAGGTAAGATTAGGTTAGGTTAGGTTAGGTTAGGTAAGGTTAGGTTAGGTTAGGTTAGGATAGGTTAGGTTAGGTTAGGTCAAGTTCGTTTCGATTAGGTCCGGTAACGCTGCAATGCAGATACCTGGTTTTATCATTTGGCCATGTGGCTAACTGCAACATAATTTGTTGCACTTTGCCACGTTTGCCACACTAATTTTTCTTGTTTCGTTTAGCCACATAGCACCTAAAATCTGTGGCAAGATGCAACATTTTTTGTTGCATTTTGCCACGTGGCTGAATGAGCTGTGGCTAAATGAAACGTAACACGAAACACACGAGACACACGAGACACACGAGACAGGACTCGTGCGACTCCAAGAGCTCGGTGTTATGGCACTGGGCTCAGGTCGAGAGGTTTATGAGGATGCTAGTTAAGTCTTTCACTTTCTCCCATAGTCTATAACAAGTACCCATATCAGCCAATAGGATCGCTTCATACTCCCTAGATCTTTTTTGTCTATAGCTTTGTCTATAATTTTCAACAAACAGCCCGCTCGTTGGTTTATTGCTATCAAATCTAAAAAATGTCGAGAAAAATACTGACCTCTTCTGTTCGTGCGACTCCAAGAGCTCGGTGATGTTGACGCTGGGCTCGGACAGGGACGACTTGGAGCTGCGGGAATCCCGATCGGCGTGGGACTCGGGCTCCTTGGTCGAGAGGTTCATGAGGATGCTCCGGAAGATCTCGGAGCTGCGGCGGAGCTCGGAGATGATGTTCCGCTCGGGGGTCCGCGGCGCGAGCGTCGGCGAGTTGTACGTCGAGCTCCGGTCCGACTTGGAGCGGAACGGGGAGCGCTTGAAGGCGCCCGGCGAACCGCTCCCGCTCCCGGGCCGGTCCTTGTTGATGTAGTTGGTGTTCCGCTCCAGCGAGAAGAACCGCTGCCGCGGCAGGATCTTCAGCGTCCGCCGCGTCAGGGAGCCCTTGTCGCCCGGTTTTTGGTCCGCGACTTTCGTCGATTTCGAGGAGGTCGTCGGGCTCGACAGCTGGTTCTCTGCAACAGAAATCGGAGATAAAGTCAGCCGAAAGGACTTTTTCTTCTGAATTTCAGAAAGATTTATTAAAAAATGAACAAAGGGGAAGGGGGGAAGAGAGACCCCGACCAAATGCACAGTAAGGTTAGGTTAAGTTACGTTAGGTTAGGGAAGGTTAGGTTGGGTCAGGTTGGGTTGGGTTAGGTTAGGTTGGGATAGGTTGGTTTAGGTTAGGTTTGGTTATGTAAGGTTAGGTTAGGTAAGGTTAGGATAGGTTGGGTTAGTTTGTGTTAGGTTAGGTTAGGTAAGGTTAGGTTGGGTTAGGTTAGGTTAGGTCAGGTCAGGTTAGGTAAGGTTAGTTCAGGTTAGGTCAGGTTAGGTTAGGTTAGGTCTGGTCAGGTTAGGTTAGGTTAGGTTAGATTAGGTTAGGTTAGGTTAGATTCACAGGGCCTAAATTCACAAAACTAATAAAATAAAAAGGGCTGAAATAATTAAGAAGGCCACATATCGTGAAAGACTGTTAGGGGGGAAATTTGCCGGAATTCGATTTACTGTACAGGAGATCAATCTGGGAAACAAAATTTGGACTTACGTTTGACGGGCTGTTTGCCTTCCTGCCACGGTGCCTCCTCCGGGTACTTGACAATATTTACAGAGTGGGCGGAGGGCGGAGCCGTGGGCGGGGCGAGGGGCGTTGACGCGGGAGGCACAGGGGTGGGGGCGGGGGCTGGGTCCGCCTTGCGATGCTGCGAGTAGGGCGTGGTCGGGACGGAGAGGGATACGCCCAGGTCGGGGCTGGCACAGGGGGGCGGATCCGCCTCGTCGTGACGTATGGACATGGTCTCGCTGGAGCTCGAGGGCGAGCCGTCATACTTGCGCAGGACGTTGCTGTAGAGCTTCTTCGCGATTGGGTGCGTCCTTAGCTTGTTCCGCCTCTCCGGGGTGCGCTCCGGAGTTCCTGGCGTCCCGCCTGAAAAACAATTATTATAAATTTAATACAACGATGATGAAAGTGACGATAATTCATCAAAATCAACCGAAGATATAACAATGAATCGCACTCAATAGTGGTTCGATGTATCGTTCGGTTCAAAACAATAGAACGAAACATCAAATCAGAATTTTACGATATTAGTCAGAAAAGCTGAGAATGAGAAATTTCGTAGCAATTTCACTCTTCTTGGCCAATTAGTACTTATGCAAACCTATAATATATCGCCTTTTTGGGCCCTAAGAGCTACATAAATCAAGTTGTTCATACACTCACTGTAAAGGTACTCTAGTTGTAGGAAATACAGCGCTTACTTTTCTTCTTGCTGTGCCTGAGCGAGCCTTGGTTGGACTCGAGGCCCCCATGGGAGGGCGAGTCGGCGGGCCTCTTCTCGGGGGCGTGGCGTCGGCGCGAGGGGCGGTGCCTCGGACGGGGCGTGGCTGGGCGGGAGGAGGCGGCGCCGGGCTCCGGCGAGAGGGCGGAGGCGTTGGAGGAGGAGCGACGACTGGGCGGAGTCTCGACGAGGCACCCGCCCTGGTTCGGCTCGAGGCCGTACTTGAGCAGGAGCCGCACCACCTCCACCGCGCCGTGCTCCACGGCCACGTGGAGCGCATTGCTGAAGATCACCGGGGCCTCCTGCACAGAGCTCGAGCTTAGGGAACTCCGCGAGCCGGAGACGTCCTCGCGGGCCGCCGGCTCCAATCTGAAACACAAGGGAAAATAGCGTTTAGAGGAATTTTTTAGATACGTGTGCACTGATAAAAATATGCTCTTGTGTTACTTTTGGTTAATATAGGAAGTTAAACACAAACCAACACAAAATCGCGTCGATTTTAGTACAGTTAGCGGTGAATTTAGTGCAGAAAACGATGGAGAGGCTGCACGGGCAAATGCATTCCTCTGATCGCGACGTTGGTATACACCACTTGTTTTTCATAAAAATAAGTGTGGAAAATGTCTTCAGTCCTTTTCTGCAAAGGACTTTTTCTTCAAAGGACTGAAGACATGCTTAGGGCAACTGAGATGGACTTTTCGTGGAGGTCTGCTGGCATTTGGAGAAGAGAGCGTATCCGCAATGTAAAAGTGCGCAAGATAATGGGTGTGGAGAATGACATCGTGCACGATATTAGGTCCAAGCAGTTGGTCTGGTATGGACATGTGTGACGGATGGCAGACGATCGGTTGCCCGAGCAGGTTTTCGGTTTGGTTCCTCCCGGAAGGCGACGGGGTGGACGTCCTGTGAAAGGTTGGGGACAGGGAGTGGAGGAGGATATTAGGAGGTGCCAATTGCCTGATGGTCTGGGAGAGGATAGGAGGCAATGGCGATTTGGCGTCGCAGAGCGCGAGGCTGCGCTATAGAAGCGGCTTAATGTTACTTAAGCGGCTGTATGTTACTTTTGGTTAATATAGGAAGTAAACCACAGACCATTTCAAATTTTGCGTTGATTTTAGTACGGTTTGCGGTGAATTTAGCGCAGAAAACTATGGAGAGACTGCATGGGCAAATGCATTCCTCCGATCGCGATGTTGGTATGCACCATTTGTTTTTTTATGGAAGTAAGTATGGAAAATAGTAGAGCATTTTTTTCATAATTAGATCTAAATTCATCTGACAATTTGAAGAAAAAATATTCATAGATCTTCTCAAAGATAAACATTTTACTGGAGGAAATTTGGCGACTCTCGAATGTTCATACAGGGTGCTCCCTGAGCACGACTGCATAGCGTTCCTTAAAACATATCCTTTCCTCAAGATGCCCGAGGCTTTGTATGGTCTATTCTGTGATTAAGGGAAGTTTAAGAAGATCCTGGATAGAGCGTCATAAAAAGACAATACAATGGAACTGGAGTAGAATTAAACCGTGCAACTTTGAAAATTGATAGATTGCAAGGGATTACGAAGGTTTACCGCCACAAAAATTTAAAAATACGAAAAAAAAATTTGCAGGTTTCAAAAAGGTAAAGCTTGATTTTTATATATGTAGAAGTTGAAAAATCATAGAAGTCGCGTGTACTGGTTTGAGACAACAACAAATCTAATGATAAGTTAATTCGTTTTCTTTGCAAAAGATGAAATACAGGTGAGAATTTTGAAACACCTCAATTCAATAACGTGGTTTCCAAGTTTAAGCATTGATACAAATCGATGAACGATTGAGCATTCAAAGCGCCTTCAAGGTCCTACTCTAATCTTACGGGAAATGACGATACCACTATACGCACGCCGTGATGGTGGTATCGTATACCCGTCCAATTGAAGGCGGACGCATACTTGTCTGTGGCGCCTTCCGCGAATCAGAAGATTTGCATCGGAATTTTTATTGTTTGAAGGTTGGTTGCCCTTTTTGAGCCCTAACAGCTCCATATTTGTGCATGTCCGCACTCTCCCTTTATAGTTCAAAATAACTTTTCAGCGCTAAAATTAAAGTGTTGACATTTTGCATTTGCAGCATGAAATTCTTCATCGGGTGTTTTTCCAAAACACACAACATGGACTTTTAAAATTGATAGTTTATGATAGCATTGATTTCTACGACCAAATGGACGTATTTATGCTGAAAGGAAGTATGTGCATAAGATTTTCGTGGAACATAGTTTCTTTTAGCATAAATACGTCCAAATTACTTTCGGTTTAGAATGGAAGTAATCCATATTCATTCTTCTCACTGCGGCTTACTTTTTGTTACCTCTCTGAATCCTGAAAGTTTTATGCCAACTATTTGTTCTCATATTGGCTCTGAGGTAAATCATTTTCTGTCGGTTTATGTACGTATACTTTAAAACCAGGAAACGTTGAGATTTATGATTATAAAAAGACTGGGAGTCTTTGGTGTACGGATCATGACAGATTTTCTCAACTATTATCAAAGGTGCTCCACAAACTTGATGCGAGGTTCTTGAATTGATGGGAAAATTGATGGGTATAAAGAGGAAATTTCAAAATAAAAGAATTTATCGACCACGTAGCGACGTTGTAGACTTCCGGTCATACTTTATTTTTAAATGGAAAAGTTCTTGAAAATTATCGTATTTTTTCCTCTCTGTGCGAAGAAAACTCTATACAAATTTCAAGAAACTATACTGATTTGTTCTTCTTCGAAAAATTAAAATGGGAGCAGAGATGCTCAAACACCGCGAACGAGATACGTGGTCCTGGTCTCGTAATATTTCACCGTAGATATTTTTTTTTGATCCAATTCATCATTGGCGTAGCGTGCGTGGCAAGCTTTGCGATATATCGATTGATCCGTCATTTAAACCTATGAAAAAGGATCGATGAACAGGGTGTTCGCAGCGAAAACCTTAATAATTGATTCTTCACCATAGGTTTAAATGGCATAACAATCGATACATTGCAATTCACGCCACGCCACGCCACGCCACTGCAATTCATCATTCTAGAGCCAATACTAGAAAGAGTTGGAACTTCCAGAGACACTCAATGCCACACTCATCACGGAATAAGACTTCTAAACTGAGCCGGAGCTTGCATTGGTAGAAATTTGTGACACTGATCTTACACCACTTCAAATTTAAGGACTAAAAAGGCCCCAGTACTGCCGTGCTAAGGAAAAACGCCGAATGAACCTTTAAGTATTGCCAAATTTCCTTTGATTAAACGCAAATTTTCGAGAAAAGTTATGATAATTTCTCTTCCAATTCTTCAGATTATTTTGTTCGCAATTTCACCTAAAGTTCCTGAAGATTTCAGGGAAAAATATTCATTAATTTCCTTTTAAATACACATTTTATTGGAGGGAATTTGGCAACTCTCGAATGTTCATACGGCGTTTTTCCTTAGCACGGCGGAGTAGGCATCTGCATATTAGACAAGACGGAGCCCCGGTGGATCCGCTAAGACAGTTAAAACAAATATAAAGCCGTATGCGGTGAAACTCGGGTATATTTACTTTTGAAAAAAGCTCGAGGGACCCGATGATATCCACCCACAACCACAGATCCCCACCCACAGATTGTCGGAAGGCAAATGACACGGGTAGAGGAACAATCCCGCCCCGAGAGGGGGCAATTAAGGCGTGAATTGGGGTAATTTGGCGCCGGGGACAAATGTTTGCTTTGAATGGCTCGCGACGCTGCCTCGTTTTCATCCGGCATGATATCTATTTCTCGCGGAGGTTTTCATTCAAGACGCCGAAAAATGAAAGGCTTTGTTTGTCCTCAAACTTTCCGCATTGGACTCGGTGGCGAGTTTTTGGATTCGTGAGAGGAGGCTTGGCTCATCCTGAACCTGAATCAAGAGGCTTGGCTCTCGATTTAGCCAAAAAATCCGATTGAATCAGGAGTCAATTTTCTTTTCAGTGTTTTCAAGAGTTTGGACTCTAGATCCAAGCGAATTTTTTTTCCAGTATACCATTCCGGTGCGTTTGAAATTCCTCCAAGTTTTTGAAATTTTAAAAGGCGCCGGTTTGTCCAGGAAAGACGAACGTTCAGCATTAAAATCCAATCAGTGGCGTGGCGTGAATTGCGATGTATCGATTGTTATGCCATTTTAACTCACGGTAAAGAATCGATTAGAAGAAGAATCGATTATTAAGGTGTTCGCTGCGAACACCCTGTTTATCGATCCTTTTCCATAGGTTTATATGGCATAACAATCGATGTATCGCAAAGCACGCTACGCCACTGATTGGATTTTAATGCCGAACGTTCGTGTTTCCGGGACAAACCCGCTCCTTTAAAAAGTTCAAAAACTTGGAGGGATTTCAAACGCACCGAAATGGTACACTGGAAAAAAAATTCGCTTGGATCTAGAGTCCAAACTCTTGAAAACCCTGAAAAGAAAAAATACTAATGATTCAATCGGATTTTTTTCTTAAATCGAGAGCAAAGCCTCTTGATTTAGGCGGATTTCCTTCTGATTCAAGCGAAAAACGCCGTATGAGTCTTCAGGCGTTGCCAAATTTTCTTTTGATAAAACACGAATTTCCTGGTAAACTTATGAATATTTCCCTCTCAATTTTTCGCAGAATATTGTTCGCAATTTCACCTGAAGTCCCTGAAAATTTTAAGGACATTTTTTTATAATAGCTTTTATCTCTTTTAATACTATTCCCTTTTCTGTTGTTTTTATAATCATTACTATGTGTTTTATACATATTTTTTCTTCAGTAAGTTCAACTTTTTTATAAATCACATATATCTTACTATTTGCTTGATTTTATTATTTTTTTTAGTTACTTTTTTATTTTCAGTTTCAACTATAGTCATAATAATTAAAATTAGGATTACCGGAGTTAATTTTTCTGTAATTGAAAGCTATGTTTAACTTTAGTTTCTGATGCGGCAGAAAATACAGTAAATTTAATATTTATATTAAAGATTTAAATCCTTCTTTGGAAATAGGTGTGTGGAATAGGATGAGATATAAACATTTTATTGAAGGAAATTTGGCAACACTCGACTGTTCAT